CACGCAAGATCGGCTAAACTGCAGAAATAACAAACCCCTATCCTTAGGTTATAATCAAATAAAAAATGTTTCTCAATTGACTTCACGTTTTAATGTTTTTCAACAAACTTGAATCGATCATTGCTTTATCACTGATGGTATCTCGCAAGAACTGCTAAAGATGCCAATTTGTTCATTTTTTAATCCTTATTTTCGATTAGTGAAGAGTTATTTTGGTATTATTTGTATCGTTAGAATTATTTCTATTATACATTTTATTCACATTTTCAATATTCTGTACAACATATTTAATACAAAAGAAAAAAATAGAAATGCTTAGCGGAGTCAAAATGGCACCATCGACGATTATAGTATTATAAATGTAAGAAAAAATATAAATTATGTCGCGACTTACGTAATTAGTAACATTAGTTGGACAGTAACGAAATATCACCGTTCCAAGCTCGTCGCCGATCGGCTTGGGTCTTGGTTCCTTTCCTGTTGACATGTAGAAAGCTTCCGGCATGGCAGGGTTGTACTCTATGTGTCGAACTCTTTCTGGGATCACCTGAGAGGTCATTATCTCGATTAATGTTATATAATTATAGAATTAATGTATCAACTAGCATAGCATAATAACGGAGTGTGAAATAAATTAATGACATATCTCCGTAAGAAACTCTACAAAGCATTTCTTATCAAAATTGCAGTTCGTGTAAGAGCAATTAACATTATATACGGTGAATTAGCGGTACGCGGTATTTTGTCTTTTGAGAAAGGCTGCTCATCGAAATAAAACTAAGGAAAGGTGGAATGAAAAACGATGCAGGTGCATCATTTTTCACCTGGCACTCTGTCGGCCACCTGGCCGCTTCCTGGATGCTTCCGTCGACGATGCAACGCGCATCGAGTACTGCTCGAAGGGCCTCCTTCGAGTATCGATATCTGGATAAACCCAAAGGTATCGCGAACAGCGCCGATTCCGCGTCTCGTCTCAGAGCTGAGCTCTCGTAACGTTCTAGTTGAGACACTTGTAAATCCTGCGGCGTTAGATCAGAGAGCATACCACCTACGTCGTTAAGGAAGAAAAAATCCGTTTTTATAATTATTTTTTAAATAAAGTTACGTATTTGTAATTTTGTAAATATAATGTATTTTTATCTCTTACTGCGTTCATTCATTAATGAAAAAAGTTCATGATCGGTAATATTTTGATTTTTGTTCATTAAATTACTCGAAACGATATTTATGAGAAAATTCGAGGTTTTTTATGTCCCAAGTAGCTTATTGATTATTTTGATTATATGGGTAAAATATTAATGAGAAACACGACAATTTTTTTTTAAACGAGCAAAAATAGTGGACGATTGTACCGAACTATAAATTAAGTTATTCGCGTGATAAAATGCGCGTCATAATGAGAGGTTTGATTTTTAGCGTTAGGTTTCGAGAGGATATTAGACACGATCTCTTTCTTAAGTAGCATCAGTAGCATACAGTATAGAGGATCGATGATCGGGTACAATGTCCGTATAGGTTCGCGACCTCGCCGCCACTTCGATCATATGTTATGTGTATGAACGTATCATGTTCCCTCTACTATTTCAAAATCAATTTAATACTTAATGTGATATTGCATTTCTTCGGTATAATAAAAACTGCATTTCAAGTGCAGGAACCAGCTAATAGTTCAAGAGCATAAAAGTGAAATGTATCACGGGAAGAGGGAGAACAACTGAAGTATTTCGAAATTTAATTAAACAAAGATCTGAAAATAATTTTGCTGGATTATTAAATATATAAGACGTTCAAGTTAATTGCTAGAATCTCAAAATTTTTTGCAGCATAAAATTATTATTTAACATAAAGTCTATTTATTTGTTACAATTTATTTAGAAGAAAAAGTGTTTAGTATTTGTTGCATACATAATAACATTATAATTGCATACATAAAATAATTACGATCAGGAGCTCCAGTTTTATTAGTTATTATTATAATGTTAGCAATAATAAATAAATTTATGTATGTAAAAAAATATATGGTTAATTGAAAACGATTGTAATCTACAGTATGTACTTTCAGTGAATTATAAAAAATTGATTTGTTTCGGATAAATAAGGGTTCGAGTTTGCCGCTGATTCTATATCATATCCGTCCAATTATCCTCGTTAGAGAATTAAAGGTCACCTGGGATGGGTTGAACCGGAAACAGCACGGCCTGGAGTTCTCTCACCCTGCTGCTCGACACCGCCTTCATCTTTCGTTATCTCTCATCGGTTTCGTTCTCGTCCTGCTCGTCCCGATCGTCAGCATTGACGGCGAGCATCGGCGATGATCTACCACCCTTAGCATTCTCGTGCCAGTCCGTATATTCCTCCCTCGTCGGCACTTCCTCGCCGAGGAGATACTTGACAATCGGATTTTTCATTCCCACGTTCACGTTTTCGTGATCCACATATCAAGAATCCACACCACTTTTCGCGAGGGCTTTTCGGATGATTTTATATCTCCGTCGCGGCGCTTTAAATAATCTCCGATACTTTCCTCTCACAATTATGGTTTATTAGGATAACTTGAGATCTTATTATCGAAATAGCAATCTATACAACCGTCGCGAATCTATACAATGTTGAGCTTTATTTGTTCAACGCTCTTGTCAATGCGAAGAGAATTTGCCCGTTTTTCCGAGAGAAATATAGATATATTTAGCTACTGTATCAAAGCTTATTTATAATAAATAAATACGGTTTTATAAAAATGGCAATGATTGCAGTCGAAATTGTTAGAAGCGATTTTTTTTTAAATTTTTTCTTAATACATCAACTGTCACTGATCAATTGAAGAATCGTACAAATATAAATAGTCGAATAAATCGGTAGTGTCAAGAACGAGTAGAAGTTCGAGGTGAGTGCCAACGAGAGGGTGCAAGTTATACTAGGAACTCCGCGAAACTTGGAGGTAGGTTCCTGGCGAACGCGGATAGGAACCTGGCTCGTTGTTGAAGACATTCAGTGGAACATTCCTTAAATGATTGCCTGACAACCGTCGCGAATCGTGGGCGGAGCTACCCTCGGAACGATCGTTCGTTAACCGTTCCTCGTTCGAGAAGGCCGCCGGCGCGGCTCATCGACATAATATCTTGCCAGTAACTCGACTCGTTCTATTGATGTTTCCGAAGTAAACGACGCTCATGTGAGCTCGTCGATCGGAAACCGGCGATGAGTCCCGTTTGAAACGCGATAATAAACATAACCGAGCGGAAAGATCAAGAACGAATTAATTTGAGCAATAGAAAAGAGAAGCGTAGCATTGTTGATCCGAGTTTCCTTTTGTGGGTGATACTTTTGGTTAATTTTAACATGTTAATTGCCATGAGTCATCCGTGATCGACGCCTAACTTTTATTCAGCCATGCTCTGGTGGTTGCATGAAAGGAAGAAGGTTTTGCTGAAGCATCTAAAAATTTAGCTGAATACGGATTGGAAAATAATTTTGTTGGACCATTAAAATAATTATGTAAAACTAATTGCCAGAATATTAAAACTTTGTACATGAAAGGAAGAAGGTTTTGCTGAAACATCTAAAAATTTAGCTGAATACGGTTTGGAAAATAATTTTGTTGGACCATTAAAATAATTATGTATTACAAAACTAATTGCTAGAATATTAAAACTTTTTATTTTGATGGCCCAACAAAATTATTATCAGATCCATACCTAGCTAAATTTTTAGATACTTCAACAAAACAATTTTATAATTGGAGCTATCAAATTTTTTTGTTTCTTGTAAAAATAAATGTATAAAATTTTTTTAATAAATAATTATAGACAAAAATATAAAAAAAAGCATATTATTTAACATTGTACGTGAAGATTTATTTTATTTAATTGTATTACATAAAATTATGTTACATAATTAAGTCTTAATTTTATTATTATACGTTATAATGAACATTTTACCATGGTATATACAGTAAGACTTGCAAAACTCGCTGATTACGTAATATGTTAAATGTCATCGATGTGTCATTATCCTTTAGTATTCAACTTGTTACGCAAAGTAGACGATGAACCCTTTGTATGAAAAATATTTCTCAATAAGAATTTCATCAACAAAAGAACAATGAACGATATTTGAAAACTATACTTTAAAAACCATTTCATTATTCTCTTAATAATTAGGAATGCTATTTACTGTAAGGAGATAATAAAGTACGATTTGATCGTAAAATTTTCAACGCATGTACGTTTATATCTTCTTCTTTTATCCAGACGATTATCTTTTCAACGTTTTCAGTACATCCTATCATTTTAATAAGCCTAAGAGTAATTTTCCAAAGACAAATATACGAAGAATGTGTGCGTGGTAGATAACGATCTGTAAGGGTTGCTACGTAAGGTGGTGCCTACCTGGCCGTGCCGGGTTTTCCTAGTTATTGATCAATCAACGCGCACCGGATAAAGGAGAACAGAACAGTTTATCATCTCGGGGAGGCGATCGATGGGATTCCAATTGATAATAGAATTACTGGCAAGTTGCCGCCAGAAGTTCCATCAGACGTACACGCGACCGCCGACTTTTAACAGTCACGATAATGATGGTGTCATAAATTCAATTGCATACGAAACGATAGTGTCGAGGCATCAATGCGATTCTCAGATTGAACTGTCTGTTGACTTTTCTCGCGCTCTAATTCTTTGTACCCTTTGTTCTATACTGATTCATTTTCTGACGATAACATCTGGTATCAATGATTTGTAACGTATCATAAATATTTATATATTTTTAAAAGAGTTTCATAAATATTAATATAATATTTATAATTAATATTTTTATTGAAATATAATTTATTAATCACTTCGATATTATCGCTGAATATCGCGTTACTATTTTTCTAAAAATATTGAAGAATTAAAACTATTAATTAAGAAAACAATTTTATACAACTGTAAATCTATAAAACTTACGACATTAACTCTGATTGAAGTTAAAAATAATGTACATTTATTTTTTTATTCCAGATAAGTGCATTTGAAAACCTCGTTTAAGAATAACGGTGAATATTTTTCAACATGGGACGTACGGTGACCGTTGCCGTGTGCACATTAAACCAATGGGCGATGGATTTCGATGGGAATACCAGGAGAATTTTGCAGAGTATACAAGAGGCGAAGGATGCTGGTGCCACTTACAGAAGCGGTCCCGAGCTGGAAATCTGGTAATTAGAAGAAAAAGAAACTAATCTTGTTTTGTTATCCATAAAAAGTATCGAAAAAAAATATCATTAGTCTATTAGAAGAACTATATTTTTTTATAATGAAATTAGAAATTTTTGTTCTTTGTATCATTTTTTCTTTATATGATTTTATTGAAATTCTCTCTTTATTACTTTTATTATTTATTATGTTATTTTGTTGCAACTGTATCTTCATAAATATCTATTCAACAGTGGTTACAGCTGCGAGGACCATTTCTACGAATCAGACACATTACTTCATAGCTGGGAAGTTGTAGCGACCCTTCTAAAATCCAGTGTTTGCGAGGATGTATTGATAGATGTGGGTATGCCGGTGATGCACAAGAACGTGACATATAACTGCAGAGTAGCCTTTCTGAATCGGCGGATTTTACTGATCAGGCCGAAAATGCGACTCTGTGAGGACGGCAACTACAGGGAAACCAGATGGTTCTCTCCTTGGACCAAAGTAATTAAATACAAGGGTAACACCCTAATAACAAGGGTGATCGATCATAGCGCGTGCCCAAGATGCACGATAATCCGCGTCTTTTTCTTGTTATGTTAGGAACGTACGGTCGAGGATTATTTTCTGCCGCGAATGATATCGCAAATCACCGGTCAGACCGTAGTGCCATTCGGTGATGCGGTCATCGCGACGAGGGATACCTGCGTAGGTTTCGAAATATGTGAGGAACTTTGGCATCCAGCCAGTAATCATATTCCGATGTCATTAGACGGCGTGGAAATTATCACGAATGGTAATGCTATTGTTACGAAATTTGACATTACAACTGACATAGGCTGGTATTTATAATTTGTTCTTATTACAAAATGTTTAAAAGATGATTAATACAGGTCAGTGTTTAATTATGACACCTTAAGATTATACGTAAGACAATCTTATTACAGTCTTATTACTAATACAAAAGAAATGAAATTAAGATGTAAATATAAAAACTATAATAACTATAAATGCCTGTCTAGACCTGTTTTCTGTTTTTTTTTCCGTTCTTTTCTACTTCTTTTTTGTTCCTCTAATGAAGAGATTAAAATTATATTCTTTGTAAATTCAAGGATAAGAGATTAAAGGATTAGAACAAATGTTTACTTTAAAATTGCTTCTCTATTTTTTTTATTTCTTTTTTTCTTAAAGGAAGCGGTTCATACTTTGAGCTACGTAAAGCCTACATCACTGTGGATCTCGTTAAGTCAGCTACTTTCAAAGCTGGCGGTTGCTACATGTTCAGTAATTTGCGCGGATGTGACGGTGGCAGACTATACTTTAACGGTGGCTCCAGCATCACACTCAATGGCGTCATATTAAATCGTGGACGGCAATTCGCTCTTGAAGACGTGGAAGTGACTGTCGCCACATTCGATCTCGAGGATATAAGGTAAAGTGATTGATCTGAACTCTGATTATAAGTACTGCTGTCAATGTTCAAATATATTCTACATAAAAAGAACAGTTTTTGAAGTATCTACAAATTTATCCAGACAGTTCTGAAAATAATTTTGTTGAATCATTTAAATAATTATATAGGATGTTCCTGCATAATTATTCGAATGTTCCAACAAAATTATATATTTTCAAATTTATACCTAGCTAAATTTTTAATAACTTTAACAGAACCTTTCTTTCCGTGTAAATCAAATAGTATTGCTTGGAGCATGAATATTGAAGTATTAAAGAACTTGATTTATATCTTAGATAATTAGAGAATTTAGACATTTCACATCTGTAAAATATTATAAAGTAAAAAATAATGTAGCACATCGTTCTATTCTCTTTAGGAATTATCGAAATAGCATCAGATCGCGATCGCATGCGGCCGCTGCGTCGCCTAGTTATCCACGTGTGAAAATCGATTTTGCGCTGACGCCAGAAAATCTCGTCTCAAATCCACCAGATCGACCGCTCGACGCAGCCCAGGATATATACGGCGATAATGATGGGCATTCGAATGTCGCTTATCACACTCCAGAAGAAGAGATTGCGATGGCACCTGCGTGCTGGCTGTGGGACTATCTGAGGTACGCGAACATGCTCAAGATACTTATTTTTTATTACCACTATAAGCTGCTTAAAAATTATGTTTGTAGAAAATTATATGCAGAGTAGTTCTTAGGTAAAAGATAATTCCTCACATTCAAAACGAAAATTTCATGACCATATGTTCTTAAAAACACGACTTATCCTTAAGTTCGGCTCTGATTAAATAAAAATATGATTTCAAAAAATGAGCCTTCATATCTTTAAAATATGTATACACAACGTTTCATTAAAATAACTTGAGTGGTTTGTTGAAAAAGTAAAATTTTTCTTTTAATTTTAACACAGAATTATATAAATTTTGTCTTGAATTAATTAATGTGAGGATCTCCCTTTCGTGCTTGTTATTTATAATCACATGTTCACATTTTAGACGATCTTGTCAAGGTGGATTTTTCTTACCACTGAGCGGTGGCGTTGACTCCGCGTCTTCAGCATGTATCGTATACTCGATGTGCGAAATGATCGTCGAATCAGTCGGTAGAGGAGGTAAAACTCTACGCTACCTTCTCTTAAACTACGAGAGTCTTTTTTAAATAAATTTCGTTTCGTAATATTTAGACACACAAGTCTTAGCGGATATCAGAAAGATCGTCGGCGACTGTGAATACGTACCGTTAGACCCAAAGCAATTGTGCAACACTATCCTTGTCACGTGCTATATGGGAACGGAGAACTCATCGTCGGAGACTAAGACCCGAGCGGCCGAGTTAGCCAGTCAAATAGGGTCCTATCATCATGGGATAGTCATAGATACCGCGATATCTGCGATTTTAGGGATCTTCCAACAGGTCACTAAGCTGACACCGAGGTTCAGAATACAAGGTGGATCGCCTAGGGAGAACCTGGCTTTACAAAATGTACAGGTAATTGCTCGACATCGTTGATTTTGGAACTAATATATCTTTATTATAAAATTACTCATCTCTATGTTTAATCCTTTTACTTTCAGGCTCGATTAAGAATGGTGATCGCTTACTTATTCGCTCAATTAATGTTATGGGTCAGAGGCCGCCCGGGTGGTCTCTTAGTATTAGGGAGCGGCAATGTAGACGAGGCGTTACGTGGTTACCTCACTAAGTACGATTGTAGTAGCGCTGATATCAATCCAATCGGTGGCATAGCGAAGAACGATTTAAAGAAATTCCTTCTATATTTTAGGTACGAATACAAATGATATACACAGCGAACTGTCTTTGATCTGTTATAATTTGGAAGTCGAAGCTTAAATTGATGTAAACGTATATTGCACTTATTTTATTTCGAATAACAATTTAAAATGTATTATTTCATTTTCTTACAATTAAGAATCGCTCTGTATATTCCGTATGATTAAGATGCTTGTGCGTAAGCTTAAAACAGTAACATAATTGCTCTTTGTATTTAAATTCCAGACGCAAACACGGAATATTCGCTTTGGATAATATCCTGGATGCGCCACCCACTGCGGAACTGGAACCGCTGCAAGCGGGTCAGCTTGCACAATTGGACGAAGTAGATATGGGCATGACCTACAAGGAACTTTCAATTTTTGGACGATTAAGGAAACAGAGTAACGCCGGGCCTTTTACAATGTTCTGCAGACTTGTGCATATGTGGGACCATTGTACCCCGAAAGAAGTGAGTGCTCCTCGAGTGAGATTCTAATTTAGTTATCTATTTCTCTTTGAGTAAATTGAAAAAATACTTTTGTTTCAGATTGCCGATAAGGTGAAACACTTCTACAGATGTTACGCTATAAATCGTCATAAGATGACGATACTGACTCCGGCCTGCCACGCGGAATCGTACAGTCCAGACGACAATCGATTCGATCACCGTCCCTTCCTCTATAATCATTCGTGGAAGTGGCAATTTGCGGCGATCGATGAACAGGTGAGAATTATGCGGGAGAAAGTCGATGCTCATCTTGATTCGAGTTCAAAAACGTCGGAATGCGAGAAGAAACGCCAAGCGATCGAAGTAACATCGCGATTAAGACATACATGCGAAAATGCGACGCGTTATGGAAAGAAGTTTTGCATGCATCGTGGAACTTGGCGTATCATGTGCAGAACGGCTCGTAGAGTCTGAACTTTTTCCAGTTCATCTTGATAGATGACAACGAGAGTCTGTCAGCCGAACTAATTATTAGACAGTATGTTAAAAAATTTGCAAATGTTCCGACATAGGATTAACAAGCGAATAAATTAATATACACTTAAAAATACCTTATTTTTAGAAAATATACATTAATTAGCAAAGAATGAAATAGATTATTTTTCAAAATTATTTTACTTAAAAAAATATGTAATAATTAAAATATATTATCTTAATAAGCGAAAACACTTAAAAATACCTTATTTTTAGAAAATATATATTAATTAGCAAAGAATGAAATAGATTATTTTTCAAAATTATTTTACTTAAAAAGATATGTAATAATTAAAATATATTATCTTAATAAGCGGAAATGAAAAATTGTATTATTTAGACACATAAAAAGTATTCGTATAGTTGAGAAAATTAGCTTCTAAAATCATAAGTACTGCTTATCTTCACAAAGCTTTTTTTATTTATGTCATAATAGAACATTATTAATAAATTGCTAATTAATATTTAATTATAAAATTGTATTATTTAGACACAAAAAGTATTCGTATAGTTGAGAAAATTAGCTTCTAAAATCATAAATACGGTTATCTTTGCAAAGCTTTTTTTATTTATGTCATAATAGAACATTATTAATAAATTGCTAATTAATATTTAATTTCTACAAATAAAGCTTTTTTAAAAATCCTCTGTACGGAATATTTTTTACATTCACTATATATACATATATATATATATGCACATACGACACGGCAAGTAGCATAGAAAATATATGTAAAGGTAGTAAACGACACACCTTGCTATCCTTTACAAATGATTTTCTATAATTTTATATTCAAGACAATGGAACTCTTTTCAGGTGAAACGACTCAGCAGTGAAGAGAAGTCATCCAAACCGCATAAGGACGCTGCTATGCGGACTCCCAGATACATGACATTGAGCTCCGTAATCAGCAGTGAGTAAATAAAACAAAGTGCGCGCGTTAACGAAGCACGTCAAGCACAACATATTTTGGCCAATGAAATAGCCAAAATAATCGGCGAAAGCACCCACCGAAAAACCCACCCTTCCGGAGCAGCACGCAATCGCTCGAAATTTCGTGCGCACCTATACCGCCGCGCTTCTCGCCGCTTTTATTGAAGAGTCATCACCGGCATCATTCTTTGTTGCAGATAAAACGCATCCTGGAGTAGTAGTTTAGCCGTAGCACTTCTCTTATTATATTGCATTGCAGCGCTGCAATAAATGGATGTAAGTTTCGCTCTTTGAAGCGATTTGAAGGATTTTATTTACTTCCGGTATTAATATTTAAGAAACCTCCGTGAGCGAGCAGCATCGAATATTTTATCAAAATATATGTGAAATAAAAAAATATATATTCATTAATAAAAAACATAATGTAAAGATTCTAATGCATAAATTATTATCCCAACATTTGTATCTCCGAGAATTAATCTTTTCTAGAAAATCCTTGAAAGTTCTAGGTCAATGCAATTATAATGATGTTGTATAGAAATAATCATAATATTTAACAGAATCAAAAGTTTTGAGAAACTTCGGTTTAAAAAACGCGAAATCTATACATATATATACAGAATATAATAAAATCATAAACAAAAAAATGACGGAGCAGTTTAAGAAAATTGCAATCCATTTGATATGTAATGATGTCGTTAAAATATTTAGATATTACATAAGAACAATATGAATAGAATTAAACGCGACGATCGAGTATAAAACATCAAGCAGGTACTTATATGTGGAGTGTGTGCATACATAATATTAATTTTTATTATCTCTCGCAAACACATATAAGAGCGCGCAACCACGTTTTGCCGTTAGCTACAATTAATAACGATCTCTAATAAGTAGACACCAATGTCCGGATAACGCAGTCGCGCTCTAATAGAATTTACAGACTCGCCAACGATACGGTACAGCATATGGAAGATAAGCCTGTCCATTTTAGCTGATCTTTCTCTATCATTCTCCTCCCCAAAATTTCAATATACCTATTTTGTCTACAAATGCCGAAATATAGTTGTTACACGCCATATCAGATCTGCACACTTATACACTCATACATGAATAATAATATCCACACATATTATCACACACTCGGTTTACAATCACACGTTAATAGTTCGCCCTATCAGTATAAAGTTTGCTCAATTCATAAGAGAAAATGATATTTTATCCTACTGCATAGACATGTTTTCGACATTTTATGCCGTTTAAGATTATTTCGTTTAAACCATTCTGATTTAAGATTTCCGACAGTTTTAAAAAACTGTATTTATACATACATGAAGATTTTTAAAGCGAAAAGCTTTTTTTTAAATACTCTATAATATATATAAAATAATCATTCTTAGATAGAATAACTTTTCTACTTTATTCTTATAAATTAAGCAAATTGCATACTAATACCATAACTGTTTTCTAGTCATAATCTTCGTTTCACGTGCGTTCTGCAAAGAAGATCGCTTCTGCAACCGGACAAACTGATAAATATTATACAGATTGATTCTTAATTATACGTCAATACTTCAATCGGTAATTATAGATATATTTCAAAATGCAACTCGAAATAAAATACACGTACATATTACACTTATATTACGTTATTTCGAATGACACTTTAGAATATCTAATAATAATCTCATTTTTTACAATAAGATTATTTACAAATTTTAATATATTATTCAGCATCATTAAGATCTTTTTAAGATAATTAAAAGCATCAAATTATTAAATTGCTCGTCAATTTAATTTGTGATATTCCTACTGTAGTTCAGTCTTGCGTTTCAAGACCGAAAGATCCTTTTGATGTGCAATTTAAAAGACTACGTATGTAGTAAATAAATTCACACCAAATTATTTAAGCACTTAAGATCCAGCTTAACCGTTAAATATGTTTATTTCTTATTTGTTGTGTAATCACACTTACCGTCCTTAGAAATTCTTAGTTTATAATCTTATTTTTCCTAAGTTACTACAACTTCGAAGATACAGCCTAAACAATCTACGTTTATATATTATTTTTCTTATTTTCGATTCTAGATTGAAGTATACATATATAATTGAGAAGCACTCTGTATCGAGCTGTATATCTTGCGTATGTGTAGAACTATCTATAATATTAATTTTAGAATCAATAATTAAATTTATCATTCAGCGCATGTAATGATAATATAATAATGATATAATAAAAATAATAATAATAATAATAATGACAGATTATTACGTACTAGGGATGAGAAAGGTTCAACGCCTCAGAAAATTAATAGCGTTTGCAAGTATCGAAGTAACAACAAAGTAAAAGGGGGTGATAATAATGAAACTGATAGTCAAATCGATAAATTTGCTGGAAATATATAGCTAAGTGCTATTATTTGCGACAATACTGAGCGTAAATTAAATAGTAATGGAAACATAGATAGAGCGTTATTGTTTAAAAATGTTAATAATAATAATAATAATAAAATAATAAGAGTGATAATACGCAACATATTAACTTATGATTGACAGTGCGCGCGACAAGTACTGTTATCCTCGAGTATTTTGTTTCGAGGTGTATAAAGTCCAAGAAAACCGTATTGGGGTCCTCCTCTTCTCAGTCCTTCGCTGTACAAGTACATTGTATGTACTTACTGTCGTAAGCAAGATACTGACAATTGTGGACTAACCGGTACCCGTTTCCGCCGTCGGAATGAAGACTATTTACAACAGGGATGAGCGTCTCACGGCGGGTGGCGTTATCGCCTACGCCGAGGCAACCGCGGGCTTAAAAACGAATACATGAATATATGTGGGAATTAAATATATATCGGTAGTCTGTCTATAAGAATCCTATACGGCGCATATTTACATAATTCGATTGAGGTTGTCAAATCCTCTTAGCGCGTTAACCGTCGGGCGAGCACGTTTCGTACGACAAGCCAATACGAACCTAATTGAATCTTAAATACAAATAAATTTTCCTATATTCTTAACTGTATCATACAATTGTCTTTACATTTTTGATCATTTCATTTAGGACTCATCAATGACCTAAGAAATATGATAAAATAACATAAATAACAAAAAAATCTTATTCGATTAAAATGATAAAATTTCATTTATGATCCAGCTGAAGTTTCAATATGATCGCTTTTTTCTGCATCTTGAAGTTGCCAGAGCGAGTTAACAAAAATCATATTTGCCGGAACGTAAATTCTCAGACATTTGCGAACATTAAAATAAATCCTTTTCAATCCAAATGCTTTTTTATTCATTTATACAAATTAGATGAAACACACATTTCTATGCCTTTCAATCTAAAAACAATATCAATTTTGCTGATGTTATTTATATGTATTGAAAAGCATAGAAATGTGTTTCATCCAATTTGTATAAATAAATGAAAATGTTCAATTCAACTGTTCAATCCAATTAAATCTAGTTGAATATAATTAAATCCAACTGAATTCTATCGAATTATTGAATCCAATTTAATCTAACTGAATTAAAAATGTTGTTATTTAAAATACGCGTTTGAATAGATAAAATTTTAATTTATTCTCGTAATCCATTCTCGTTTACTGTAGTAGGGATGCACCGGATATTCGGATAATATCTGGTATTATATTCGACGAAAATTTGCACCGTTAATGCTTTTAATCTTTTCAGCAAAACTTTTTGCACAAAGTTTATCTTTCCTATTTTTCTTTATACTTTGGAAAGATAAAAAAAATTATTGTCGCTATTTCTCTTTTGCTTTTTTTTGAGAGCTTTATTCTAGAGGTCCGACCAGATATATCAGATATCCGAAAAGAATATGACACTAGATATCCAGTATCCAGTAAGTATTTTATACGATTTCAGTGCATCCCTACTAGACAGTTTCCATCAATTTTTGTACATTTCAGATATTTGTAATCTATGTTTTTGACAAGCCGCAAATAATATATATTATTTTCAATTTCCTAAGAATTAATGCTCTCCATAAAAATATAGAAAATTTATGGAGCATTTACAAAGCGCTTCCTTGCACTCGCTCAAAAGTCGAAGAACCGTGCTTTCGAGGTCGTCGTGTGTTCGCGGCCTTTTGTAACCCTTTGACAACGCGCCACTACATACCACGGGGACAGCGTGAATAAGCCTATATACATATATACATGATTTACTCTATAATAAGATAAATGACCTATATAGTACAAATAAATACAAAGAAGAAGACTGAGTAATGGAGATGGATAGCGTTATAAGATACGATTCTTTTATAGATATAATCATTCAATTCTTATACCAACAAATGCGATGCAGAGATGGAGAACAGCAGGCATATCGGAAAATGTTACCTAAGAAAAAAAAAAAGAGTTCGCCTCGCGAACCGCATTTGCAAGGGTTAATCTTTTAGTCTTCTGAGAAATTAGCTCGCTGCTCGCTGACCTCTACCGTCTTTGAGCATCCCAAGCCTCAGAACTCGCGAGTCGTTCTATTTCCGCGAAAAGAGAAAAATCGAGCAGAATATACAGATCGCTCGATTTCAAGTACTGCCATCTCAGAATTGCACGAAATCCCGTTTTGTATGTGTGTGTATGTGTGTGTGTGTGTGGGTGTGTATACATGCGTATGAATGTATGTGCGCGTGTATCCATGCATGTATATATGTGTAGGGTATGCGTGCCCTCCTCCTACCCTTACTTACCCCCCTACCTGACCCTGAAAGAAAGGAGAGAAAAGAAAAAGAAAACCACAAGCGCACGAGAGAGCGGAAAAGCGAAATCCGGTGCGTGGAGGAGCGAGTGGATTGTCTTGTTACTTTTATCATATATCACAGATTACCCAAAGTGCACTTCGGTTGGGAACTTACTACAAGTATTGTATATATATGTACGTATGTATGTATAATATGTACACTACCGACGTTTGGAAAAGTAATTAAAAAATCAGGATAATAAAAACTGTAGTTTTATTTTAAACAATATCGGCGTATCGTTTCGCTGTGACGAATATTAACTTTAAACGTCTCTTTCAAGCTAAAAGTTGATTTTAACATCAGAATCTTGATGATAAAATCGTCGATTGCATTCGCGACGTGAAAGAGTTTATTTTTAATTATGCCGATTATATTCACGTATAACGCCGGTAGCGCTCTATTTCTACGATGATACGGCGCAGAGTCACTCGGCCGACGTGATCTAGCCCCGTTTCTCGCGATACCCGATGTCCGAGCAACGCGGATCATCCCTTCGATTCCGGTACT